TTTCTTTCTTTCTTTCTTTCTTTCTTTCTTTCTTTCTTTCTTTCTTTCTTTCTTCCTTCCTTCCTTCCTTCCTTCCTTCCTTCCTTCCTTTCTTCCTTCCTTTCTTTCTTTTTCCCACCCATCCTTTTAAACATTTCCATCTGTTGCCACAGTAAGAAACCCGCGGTTTTCCTTCATCTGGGGAGCGTTAGAACACACACACACACACACACACACACACACACACACACACACACACACGCTGCCCACCGCCACTGCTCTCCTTGCTTTTTAAGTTTTCCTCTTTCTTTATCTGTCAGCGACAGCTGCAAACAGTCCCCACTGGGGCAGCTGAAGAATGTTTAAGGAAGGTACGATTTAACAAAGTAGCGGAAAGCTGTAAGGGAAGGTGACACCCCCAAAGGTAAGAAATCGTGTGTGTGTGGGTGTGTGTGTGTGTGTGTGTCTTGCCCTCATTAGAGATAAGGGGCCAGGAGAATGTAACAGATCTCAGAGAGGGCTGCCGCTGCTGCTGTGACCCACCCGACAGAGCTGTGTTCTCAGGGACAATAACACTGCCACTGCCTACAGTGGAGGAAGGAGAAAGGCAAGAGGAGGTTGTAAACCTTCCATCATCACTTCTTGCCTTGGACACTTGTGTAAAGGTCCTCTTTGGTTCTAGTCAGCCAGGAGTTGTAGGGGAAGGAAGCCCGTCCACGAGGCAGAGAGGTCTCTAACTGGTGTGGCCAGGGTAGAGAGAAGGGAAAGGCCATCTTGATGATTAAAACAGCCACACAACCCATCCCGCCTCATCCTGTCCTCACAGTGCGCCTTTCCTGCAACTCTGCGTCTGTTTGTCATTGCAGCTGCTGAAAATTGTGCTTCATTTTCTTTTCTGTTTGCACCTTTTTTCTTTGCTGTCACTTTGTTGGGCCATCTCCCCATGATAAATGCCTTAAAAACTGATGGTAGTAAAATAAGGAATAGAGGGCACTATCTAAATGAGATGCGTGATTTACTTAACAGGGCTCTTGTAGTCATCGAAGGGCAGGTGGGACTGTGCAGATTGGGTGTAGTTCTTCTTTTCCTGATGGGCCTGGTAAGAAATGGTGGGAGAAGTCACTGTCACGATCACATCATTCAGATGTGAGTGATTGTTAACAGGGTTAACGTTAAAAATTTTAAACTCTAATAATGTGGGGATCGGCCAATGATGTCTTCTCGTTGGGTATAAAATGAGTCGTTTCAGAAGCAGGGATGAGCATTTTCACTACTGTCAGGAAAGATCAAGAAGCAGAAGTGGAGCACATCCTTGGGGCCCCAAGATCCCTGTGCACTGAAGCTCCTCCATCCAGGAGACAGAGGTCTGTGACAACAGTGGCGTGGTTGAGGAGTGGCAGCTCCAAGAGCACAAGACAATGGGACAGGCTTCCTGACTCAGAGCAAGAAAACCTCCTGACTTCAAGCACGGGTCCAGTAATGGAATGGGTTGCCTCTAAGCAGCTAACTTGGGTTGCTGCGTTTTCTGATACACCGAGCTAGGGCCAAGCACCTCTGGACTGAGGTTTGCTAGAGTATCCTTAAAGCTTTTACTGGCACCATGAAAGGAGCTTTGTACCATTGCTATGTTGTTAGGTGGCATCGAGTCCGTTCCAACTCATAGTGACCCTATGTACAACAGAAGGGAACACTGCCCAGTCCTGTGCCGCCCTCACAATCATTCTTATGTTCGAGCCCATTGTTGTGGGCCTGTGTCAACGCACCCTGTCAAAGACCTGCGTGATCACTGCCCCTCCGCTTCACAAAGCATGATGTCTTTCTCCAGGAATTGGTCTCTCCTGACAACATGCTCAAAGTATGTAAGACAAAATCTCACCATCCTTGTCGCTAAGGAAACTTTGGCAGTTTTTCTTCTAAGACAGATTTGTTTGTTCTTTTGGCAATCCACGGTATCTTCAGTACTCTTCCCCAGCACCATAATTCAGGTGCCTTCTATTCGTCTTCAGTGTCCTTTGTTGAATGTCCATATGTGAAGTAACTGGAAATACTAGGGCTTGGGTCAGGTGCACCTTAGTCCTCAAAGTACCAACTTTGCTTTTCAACACTTTGAAGGGATTTTATGCGGCCGATTTACCCAACATTACCCTAGCAAGACAAAGGCCAAAGAACTTCATGGCTGAGTCCAAGGACCAGAGAGAGGTGCTCCTTACGGGAAGAACTATATTCTGAGAAATTTTTAACCTGAGCTATAACTTCCTTAGCAAATCCTATTATCATGGGTTCTGTATTGATAGTACAGTGAAGTATTGAAATCCACAGGAAGAAGGAAGTGCTTTGGGAGGAATAGTTGGTATGAGAATTGACAGAGGAGTGGAGGGTGGAGACATGTCTGACCTCAGCTTCCGATGACTTGCCATTGGACTGATGTTGAGTGTGAATCTCCTGGCCCCTCTCTGAGTCAGAGGACAACCTTAGTAAGCCTCTACACCTTTTACAAAATGAGTAGTTTTACTTTATCAGTTTGGATGCTATAAGAGAAATCCATTACACCTATTTGTGACCTCATTAAGAATGAATGTTCTTACTTCTGGATTGGTGGATCCAGCATGTCCAAAAAACAAGTCTCTGCCCAGGTGTTTGCATTCACATTTCTAGATGGGTGCCTCATGCTTTTTATATTCCAATTTGGATTTGACTTGCATATTATTTGTTTACTAGCTACTCGCCCCCACCTCAATTCCCATGTTAGTGACCCCCTACACTGGCAGGGGGACTGCAAGACTGGTTATGGACATAATTGACTTAGACCTGTGGGTTCACATCCAGACTCAACTACTTGTTGGCATGAGTCCTGGAGCAATCACCCAGCCTCCTTGTGCTTCAATTTCCTTAAACAGAAAATGGAGATGATAATAGTACTTAGCCCAAAGGACTCTCTCCACAGTGCTTTCAAAAATTAGGACCAGGGGCTAATAGATGACAATATTAATGGAAATCTTTATGCCCCCGGGAGATGATCGATAAGACTCTCTACCATGAATTAACAAGGAGGTTTTGAAAAGGAGCCAAAGGCAGATAAAAAACAAAACAAGATCCAGGAATGGGTTTCGGGCTCACACTAATTCCTATCTCCAATTTAAGAATAATTAGTTCTTACATCATGACTCTGCTAAATACTCACCCCTAGGAAGGGAACACAGAAGATATGGGTACTATTCTAAAGTGGGGTGAAGAACTCAGATGGTGCCCAGCTATCAGATAAAATCACGCCTGGGGTCTTTAAGGCTTGTTTCCAAACAGGCAGCTGTCTAAGTGGGATGTCAACTAAGTCCACATGGAAGAAGCACACCATCATCAATGACTGAAGGATTGTAAATTATATCACCCGAAGCCAAAGGAGGGAATAGTATCAGAGCCTAAATTGTGAGAATCTTGTTTGCAGAAGGCTATGGATGACAGTGGGAGCCCAAAATACGTTTGTGAGATCTACATAAGAAATAAGTCTCCGGTATTTTCCCTCTATGCATAATAGAGGGATGGGAAGAAACTGGTTACCAAATAGAGTGAATTGTAGAGATGACTATAGAAGATCAAAATGATCAACCTGAATTGAACAGTCTAAACCTTGTCAGTTGATTCCCCTTCTGATGCAGGTTAGACCTGACCTGGCTTTCAACATTTTCTGTGTTGTTTGTTTAGTTTTGTTTGTTCATATTGGGGTTTATCTCAGATGTATTTTGTCATTGGGAGTGACCCTCTTGAATGTTTGTTATATGTTTTCTGTGTTTCAGTCTATGAAAGCCAGGATTGATGAACCTACAGGGACAGCAAACAGAATAAGAGCTTCTGGGGGGTACGAGTGAGTTAAAAAGGAGCTGATGTCAAGAGTTCAAGAAGGAAAAGAATGTTTTGAAAAGGATTGTGGTAGCAATTTACAGTACTGTTTGATGTGAGTGAACTATGGAGCAGCGATATCTGTACTAGCTCCCAGTAAAATGGTTTGGGGTGGGGGGAAGAAGATTAATAGAGGAAATATAAATTCTCAAACAACTTCCATTATTCACCCAAATGTACCTTAATCCACTTTCTCAAGTTAGAATTTTCAAGAGCACCTTTCTTTTCATCCACAACCTGTACTTTTTAGAAAGGGGAATCCGGTTTCCAGTCCTCAAACATAACAATTGTGAGGATGGTATAAGATGGGGCACGTTTCCTTCAGTTGTGCACACATCTACTATAAGTCAGTACCAACTCAACTACATCGAACAACCGTCACCCCAGGACTGAAGGTATGCTGGACTCTGAACCTTGTCACTGTCCCAAAGAGCCTGTCCTAGACTTAAAGACTAGGGACATGACAAGGCCACATGGAGGTGTAAGAGGTGTTTAGACCACAGAATAATTCCACGCCATAAAGTCATGTGCTACTTCAGGGATAACACAGCTTTAAAGACAATGAGAACGGTGGTTGAATTCAGACTCCACCACCACCCATACCAATCTTTGATAAATTGCTCCATCTCTGTGAGAGGATAGTAATTCCCACACAGGAGGGAGGTCGTGAGAATCAATGATGATATAGCCACTCTGGTTTATGTTCTAGGAACACCAGCAGAATGGTTCAGAGCTGGGAGCCTGCCTTCGCACATGGAAGGAGCCAATTGTTACAAACCAATGAAAGCGACACCGTTGTTTTACTAAACGATGACATGAAGGTGCTTGACCCAGCGCTTCTGATCTTGATTTGTCTGATGCTCATCATTGCCCTGGGTGGGCTGGCTGGAAACTTGGTTGTGCTCTGGATCCTGGGATTCCATCTACAGAGGAATTCCTTCTTGGTCTACATCCTCAACCTGGCCATGACCGACTGTGCCTTCCTCTGTGTCCTGATTGTATTTTCTCTGGTGGAAATCTTAAAGTACTTTGACCCTGCCAGCAATCGCTTTATGGTCAGCATTGTGATTGTGTTTCTCTACTTCACAGACATGAGTATTCTAAGTGCCATTGGCACTGAGCGATGCCTATCCGTGCTATGCCCCATTTGGTACCGCTGCCATCGCCCAAGTTATATGTCAGCTGTCACATGTGCCTTGCTCTGGGCCCTGTCCTTGCTGCTGACCCTCCTGAAATGGTATTACTGTGAGGTCTCTTTTGATTGTTGTTGGCCATTTAATTTCTTCCTTTGGGGGTGGGTGATTTTCTTATCTGTGGTTCTCTGTGGGTCCAGCCTGCTTCTGCTGGTGAAGGTGTTCTATGGCTCCCGGAGGAGGAAGATGACCAGGCTCCTTGTGACCATTCTGATCACTGTGCTGGTCTTCCTACTGTGTGGTCTGCCCTTTGGAACTTATTGTCTACTAGTTTCCTGGATTCAGAATAAGTTTTGTAAGTTAGTTTATTTTGTGTCTTCTCTGCTTCTCTGCTGCATGAACAGCAGTGCCAACCCCATCATTTACTTCTTCGTTGGCTCCTATAGGCAGGAGAAGCAGCAGAAGCAGCTACAGAAGCTGAGCCTGAAGGTGGTTCTCCAGAGGGCCCTGCAGGACACTCCTGAGGGGGCTGGAAATGGAGGAGGTCCCCCTCAGGAGAGCTTGGAGCTATCAGGGAGCCAGGAGGTGCAGTGCTGAGAGGCTGCTTCAGTCAGACAGTGGTGGCTTTGGAGCAACTTGGTTTCTATCAGCTTGTGTGAGTTCCTTAATTTTTGTCATCGACATGCCTCAGATCATAAAATGGATGCGGTAATAGTCCTCCTTGTGGTAGTGAGAGAAGAAAACACCAACTGAACTACTGGTGAGTGCAGCGTCTCAAGGACTGCCTACTCAGGGGCCTTCACCACATCCTCATGGGAGCAGCTGCCAGCCCTGGATTTAGAAATGATGTACCTTTATTATTATTAGTTGTTTTGTAGCTATGATTATATACTGGCATATAGCTTTCTTTTTATAAAGCAGTCATACATCATCATTTAATGTCCACAAAATGTTCCATATAACATGACTTTACATGATTGGCATTTGTAAAATCACTATATTATCTACAGGCAGACCTTGGACTATGAAAAAATTGTGATCTGCAGAAACAGTAGTGGTATCATGAGGGCAGGGGATGGTGGGTGCGGGGAATGGGGAGAAAGGGGGAACCCATAACAAAATTGGATATACAGCACCCCCGGGGGATGAATAACAGAAAGGTGGGTGAAGGGAGACAACATGTAAGACACGAAATAATAATAATAATAAACAATTGATCAAGGATTTATGAGTGTGGGTGGGAAGGGGGGGGAGGAGGAAAAGAGAAGCTGATACCAAGGGCTCAAGTAGAAAGAAATTGTTTTGGAAATGTTGATAACAACATATGTACAAGTGTGTTCAATACTATTGAATGATGGGCTGTTATAAGATTTGTAAGAGCACCCCAATAAAATGATTAATTAAAAAAATCAATAAGGGAAAGTGAAAACGCACCCATAGTGCTATTCTCTTTTCTCACAGATCACAAAACTCTGTAATTTAATTTTTTAAACTCTTCTATAGGTAATTATCCATTTTACTTGTAGAGCTCCTATAATATGCCAGAAATCAATAGCTAGTAACTGTGGAGGCAAATGAACAAAAAAAGGATGTCTTACTGTCAAATATGTGCACTCGTCATTCTATCATCTTGATTCTGTATGTTTGTGTGCTTTTTATACTTTTTAATATAAACTTATATAGACTAAGCAGCAAAAAATTATGACCTGAAGCCTGTCTTTACGTTGAATTTGTTTGTAATTCCAAATAATTAGGTATGGTTCCTATCCAACATCAGTTAATAAAATGTTTGTCTTAGATAGCATATATAGTCTTTCATTCTACACTAAAACATCTTTAACATAATAATACAGTATAAACAATAATAATAATGTCTTGATTCTCACCCCATTATAACTTGTCTGTTATTATAAACCATTGCAAAACCCCAAACCAAACTCACCGCCATCAGGTCAATTCTGGCTCCTAATGACCCGACAGGACAGGGTAGAACTGCCCTTCTGGGTTTCTGATACTGCAACTCTGTCTCTCAGAGGGTGGCGCTTGGCTATGAACTGCTGAGCTTGAGGTTATCAGGCCAACACGTGACCTAATAAACCACTAAGGCTCCAGATGAACCATTGCAAGCACATCAAAATTTTAATTTAACATGCATTTCATAAATCGGGGACACAGATGTGTGTGCAGGTGGATGTCACCTGAAAGAACAATATGTAATGCTTGACTGTAATTTTATTTTTGGTAAAAATACATATTACACACTGTTTTCCATTTTTCAATGGACGATTCAGTAACATGAACTCCCATGTTCTGCACCCATCTCCATTTCCAAATTATATTGGTGATCCTAAAAAGAACGTAAGCAAGAGTACACACAGTCACTGTACCAAAGAGAACTAGTCGGCATCCAATCACTTCAAGAGGTGCATGTTAGCAACAGCCAATGGTACCAAGGAAGAAGACCAAGCTGCATGGAAAGCATTAGCCTAAAGCAAGCTCCAGGAATGATGGAAGACCAATGAAAATATTTCAACAAGCCGATAAAGCACTGGAAACACTCACCCGTCTATGCCAGTGACCCAGACAGCTACTTGGTCAACCGACTGGAAGAGATTCATGTTTTTTTCCATTCCAAAGAAAGCCGCAATAGGATACTGAAATTAGAGAACCATATGGTTGATATCACATGCAAGCAAAATGCTGTTTAAGATCATCCAAGAATGGCTGCAGCAGCACATTGGCAGGGAGCTGTCAGGGCTTCAGGCCTGATTTGGAAGAGGATGTGGGGCAAGAGATATCATTGCTGATAGCAGATGGATCTTGGCTCAAAGCAGAGAATACTGGAAAGATTTTTACTTGTGTTTTATGAACTAGGCAAAGGCATTCCACTGTGTGGATCATAACAAACTATGGATAACCTTGAGAAAAATGAGAATTCCAGAAGATGTCCTTATGCTCATGTGGAACTTGGGCACGGCTCAAGAGGCAGTGGTGTGAACAGAACAAGGGAATCATGCTTGGTTTTAAATGAGGAAAGGTGTGCATCAGAGTTGCATCCTCTCCTGTTACTTATCTAATTTGTATGCTGAGAAAATAATCAGAGAAGGTGAATTATATGAAGAAGAATATGACATTAGGGGTTATTCAAAGATATGGCGTCTGGGGTCTTAAATGCCTGAAGATAAACAAGCAGCCATCTAGCTGAGAAGCAACAAAGCCCACATGGATGAAGCACACCAATCTGTGTGATCATGAGGCGCCAATGGGATCAGGTATCAGGAATCAAAGACCCAGAACAAAAAATCATATCATTGTGAATGAGGGGGAGTGCAGAGTGTACACCCAAAGCCCATTTGTGGACAATTGGACATCTCCTTACAGAAGGGTCACAAGGAAGAGATGAGCCAGTCTGGGTGCAGTACAGCACTGTTGAAACATACAACTTTCCTCTAGTTCTTTAATGATTCCTCTACCCCACTATCATGATCCCAATTCTACCTTACAAATTGGGCTAAACCAGAGCATGTACATGGGTACAGATAAGAGCTGGCAACACAGGGAATCCATGACAGATAAACCCCTCAGGATCAATAATGAGAGGGGTAAGGGGAAGGTGGGAGGAGACATGGAGAAACAATCACAATGATCTACATATAACCCCCTCCCTGGGGACGGACAACAGAAAAGTGAGTGAAGGGAGACATTGGTCAGTGTAAGACATGAAATAATAATAATAATTTATAAATTATCAAAGGTGAGGGAGGAAGGAAGGGCAGGGGAGGGAGAGGGAAATGAGGAGCTGATACCAAGTGCTCAAGTAGAAAGAAAATATTTTGAAAATGATGATTGGCAACAATTGTACAAATGTGATTGACACAATGGATGGATGTATGGATTGTGATAACAGCTGTACGAGCCCCCAATAAAACGATTTAAAAAAAAAGAATATGACATCAGGATTGGTGGAAGGATTATTATGCAGATGCTACAGCCTTCCTTGCTGAAAGTAAGGAGGACTTGAAACACGTGGTGATGAAGATCAAGAATTGCAACCTTCTGTATGGATTACAACTGAATGTAAAGAAGACCTAACTCCTAACAACTGGAACAATAGATAAGATCATGATAAATGGAGAGAAGATCCAAGTTGTGGAGAGTTTCATCTTGCTTGGGTCTGCATTTAATGCTCATGGAAGCAACAGTCAAGAGACCAAAGGACACATTGCATTGGGTAAATCTACTGCACAAGGCTTTACTGAAGTGTTGAAAAGCAAGGAGGTCACTTTGAAGACTAAAATGCTCCTGACCTAAAGCATGGTATTTTCAATCGCCTCATATACATGTGAAGGTTGGACATTGAATAAAGACCAATGCATTTGGATTATGGTGTTGGTGAAGAATATTCAAAGTACCATGCACTGCCAGAAGAACAAACAGATCTGTCTTGGGAGAAGTACACCCAGAAAGTTCCTTAAAGGCAAGGATGGTGAGTTAGTTAATTGTGCCAGCCTGGCCGATAATCACATGTGGTGCTGGTTGAAAGGCGGAAGGATAAATGGGTAGTAAAGCCTCGCCTTTCTAGTTCTCGGGTCTCTTGCTTTGTGATGGTCGCACCAGGGTGCAGCTGCCTTAGCAGCTCCCTGCTTCAGCTTGCAAGATTGACTTCCTACAAGACATCCCCAAGGAGAAGCTACATGGACCTATCCCGATGCAGCCCTGGGTGCTGGAGCAGCCGTGTGGAGACCCCTGCTAGTGCTGAGATGCTTATTCGTTCACTGACTCAGCTTTCCTCCTGCAGTTGGCATCATTGCCTCTGTTTTGTGAGGTGGAGGACTTTGTGGACTGGTGTTGGGTAAATGGGTTAATGTTGGACTTGTGGGCTTGGGCAGCATTGGGTTGGGATGTTTTCGTGATACACCTTTTCTTTACATAAAACTCTCTCTTATACATGAGTCGCTGTGGATTTGTTTCTCCAAAGTACCCAGGCTAATACAGATGGTGAGGCTTGGTCTCATATACTCTGGATATGTTATCAAGAGAGATCAATCCCTAGAGGACTTCATGTCTGGTAAAGTGGAACGTCAGCAGAGAAAGAGGACGGCCCTGTCGGACATGGATGGACACAGTGGCTGCAACAATGGGCTCAACACAAGAACAATTGTGAGGCAGGCTCGGGACCAGGTCGTGTTTTGTTTTGTTGTACACAGGGTCTCAATGAGTCAGAAACAACTCGATGGCACTCAACAACAACAACAAAAAGAGACTTAATGACCCTGAAGCAACAATTTCCCATTTCCCTCCACCTCAGCGCCCAGTAGCCACTAGCAAATTTTGATCGCTCTTCTAGATATGCAGGAGCCCAGGTGTTACAGTGGTCATGCATTGGGCTGTGATCTGCAAAGTTGGCTGTTGGAAACCTTGAAAACATCAGCTAATTTCCCACGTGCTTGAATCCCCAACTCAACTTCAACCACTTTGCCTTGGAACCCCTCTGCCCCATGACTTACTCCCCAACTCCTTCCAAGCCAAGGAAGTGACAGCCACCACTCAAACTCGGGCCACATTTTGTTTTGCGCCTCTGCTTTTGCATCCCACCT